TATCCTGATTTTAATTATCTGCCTCATACTGTACAATTCCAATTGGTCGTATGGTCAAAGTAAGTAAGTATTTAGTAAAAATTTCCTAAAATAAGTGTATTTACCCTCAATTTGAGTAGGCAAATAAGATGATCTGCCAATCAAATTAGTAGTTTTACTCTTAAAATAAGATAAGTAGATAATATTCACTTGACATAAGACAATACAATCAGTTTTTCCTACTTTAAATGTAAATTGGAAAAAAAATCTCTTTTACCTTCTCAATTCAAGAGCAAATGCACTTATTTTTTGGAAAAATTACTTACCTAGATTTCTACTTTTTCCAGTGTGGTAATAGTTTTTTAGCTGATTGTTGTCTCTCTGTGGCTGGGCTGTACTGTTTTAGATTTGAATTCCAACTGTTGTAGGCTGTTTTGTTGTTGAACCAAGTGCCTGATGCTGATATCAAAGCTGTGAGATAGTAGATGAATCCAGTAAGTTTTGACATAAACCTGCAGCTTTGCTCTTTTTCTCGGCCCTTATCGTTTCAGCTCAGTGCTTTGGTGTCAATCAGCCAGCTTCAGTATTTTGATCCACTCGGATGGTTCTCAGTTTCTCTTTTTTAGAAAACCACATGCAGCTGTTTTTATCCACCAAAAGCAAAGCCTTATCACGCTGAAATAAAAACCAACGCTTTACATACCAGCTTTGCGTGAGTAGACATGGCAGAAAGGGCCTGGGTTCATTCCCGGTTATCCTGCGTGCAGCTTATCATTTCATATTTGTTGTCTGCGCTGTCGTATCAAATAAAGGCATGTAGGTCCAACTTTCTGAAGAAAGGCTCAAAATAACCCATCTGCTAATCCAGCGCGCATACTGTACATAGTTGGCAGCTCATTGGAGTGGTTTTAATACAGGAGTCCTCACAGTCTGGAAAAGTATAAAAATTGCATAAAAGTATGGAAAAATGTATTGCAGATGTTATTCCCTATCCCTAAGAACATTTTCAGTTAAAAAAACACCTTTTTTTCCAGTCCTACAACATATTTTTCTAGAGCCAATAAAAATCTACAAATGTAAAAAACTATGTACTCAATAAAATGCCTTATTTTGAAAGCAAAAGAAAATCAACATGACTTATTTCATATTTTTACATTTTGGAAAAATATGGAACATTAACTTTTAGAAGGAAATGAAACTTTCTTTTAGAACCATGCCATCTGAGTGAGCTTTTCCCATACACGTGGAAAATAAAGACAGAAATGCCATAGTTTGAAGCTCATTAAGCAGTTAATTACCTTTAAAAGTTTTGTCCCAGCTGACCCTTTTAAATTCAAAGCAGATATTGAACAGAAACGTTCAGTAGATCAGTGATAGGCAACCGTGGTAACCCATGTAACTTATACTGTTACCTAATTGTTGTATTAATCCATTTTTAAGAAATTGTTAAATGAGCTGTGTAGGAACGCTAAAATGTTTCTAACCAAAATAAACAATTTTTCATTTTGAAATTTAAAATTGGGAAAACCATTTTCAGTTTATAGATATCCCTTCTTATGTGTTTTTATGTATGAATCACTACCAGATGTCAAATAAAAATATCTGTCTCTGAAAATGTGATGACCAATAAAGTTAATTTATCTGGTTGCACCTTCTATGGTTGTGTCCATGCATAGCAAGAAGGGTTTAAATTGACCTGAAAAGTTCAAAATATGAATCAGAAAAAGAACTGTCCTAATTACAAAAACTGCTTGGAAAAACATTAGCCTTAACATGTAACAGGCAGGTATTATTAGGGTTTAACAAGCACATACAGAAATAATATGAACATGTGTTCTTCTCCGGTACTGTTTGTCTCGTGTCTGGTGTGTTGCCCTACGATGGACTGGTGACCTGTCCAGGGTGGACACACCGCCTCTTGCCTGTAGACAGCTGGAGATAGACACCAGCACCCCTCGCTTGGGATAACATGACAGAAAATGGATGGAAGTTCAAAATATGGTTGAATTTATTTTCTGGAAAAAGTTTACCATTTACATCACACACCCAGACAATAAGCTAACAATACAGTTATATTTCTTAGTTTTACCTTTAATTCATCACTCGTACAATTTACATCAAATATGGACTTTCCAGATAAGAAATATATCTGATCATCATGTACTAAATAGGTTAATGTTTGTGTTTTTTTTCCTGTCTATTTGATATGTTAGCTGCTGACTCTTATTTCTAAGGGTGCCAAATCCAAACATGTTCCCCAGAGAAAGTAAGGAAGTAAGAACTCACACTTCCAGTCAATGAAGATCAGGCGAACAGAATAGTTTACACTTTTAATAGTCTACACTTTTAAACATGCCTTTGATCTTAGAAAGGTGCTTCAATGTGCTCAGCAGAGCAATTATTAGTCATCCATGCATAGATGCACATGCAAGTGGAGGCGGAACTACTGTGCTTAAAGTTTTATCAGGAATATCTTGGTCTTCAGAGTTTTTCCTACAGCAGATGGTCTCTGAATGCACCATTCTGCTTAAAACACATGTCATAAGTCTTTGTCAAAGCCACTGATGTTTAGGTTTGTATGGACTATGGAGTCTTTGGTGTTCCTGTTGTTTTTGTTCAGTCATTATGGTTGCTGCTGGATCATTTGATCTTCTTACGGATGTTAACCATACAAGTTTTTTTCACATGTCCTGCTGTGGTGTTGCAGGCATGCCATATACTGTATAGAAGAAGGTTTCCAACATATGCCAGGGCAGGTTTGCTCTGCTAATCTGATTTATTCAATGCATATTCAATCCAGCATCGAAGTAGATAGAGCATATTTCTATAAACCATGAGGTGAAATTATTGGTGGACCTTGTTTAATGAAAGAAAAACCCACAATGATTACAGAAATATTCTGAATCTGCCAAAAGTAATAATATTATTAAAAATCAATGAAAATTAATGGATGAAAGTCAGACATTGTTTTTCAATCATGCTTCAACAGAATGATAAAAAAATAAAAATAAACTCATGAAACAGAGGTGAAACAAAAATGATGGTATCTATAACTTGATATTTTGTTGCACAACCTTTTGAGGTAATCAGAGCAATAAAACAATTCCTATAACTGTCAATGAGACTTCCACTCCTCTCAGCAGGTATTTTGGTCCACTCTCCATTAGGAAAACTGGTCAAATAGTCTCAGGTTTAAAGGCTGCCTTTTCCTGACGGTATGTTTCAGCTCCTTCCAAAGCTGCTCGTTAGGATCTAGGTCAGGGCTAGATGGCCACTTCAGAATACTCCAGTGTTTTCGTCCTAACTATTTTTAGCTGTTTGTTTTCACGATTAACCTCTATAATCCCTTGAAAGTCTGAAGATTTCTAACCTTGCGCTGCAATTTGGATTGTTGTGAGAGCTGAGTTTTCAGTCTCACAACAAATCCGTAGATTTGTAACGTAGAAATAACGTAGACCTCAACACAGTTCTACACATATTAATCTGGCTACTGACAGGTTAGGAGATTTCATTAAACCCTTTAAAGTTTCAAGACACCCTTTACCAGATTAAGCAATTCAGTGCCAAACCATAACAGAGCCTCCTGCTTCACAGTAGGAACAGTGTTCTTTTTCTACATTTTTCCATCTGCAAACATAGGGCTCTTCCATTAGTATTCGTATGATCCATCTCTTTGACATGTTTTCCTCCTGCAGCCACATCCAGTGAGGGTTGCTACAGTCCTGTGGTTTTTACATTTCTGGATAATATGTGCAACTCACAGGAACATCTAGCTGCTTGGTGATGGTAGCTAGACAGCTAGGCAGCTAGACACAAAGAAACACCTCTGTGCAACCATAAGACCTAAACAAAATTAGGCTCAACTTGACTGCCTACTGAGGATATAATTCAGCTATTTTAATTAGGCGATTTGGACTAAGGACATGTCTAAATGTTGCAGGACATCAACCCTCGAGGACTGCCAGTACCCATCTTTAATTTAGCGTGACATTGGACGCATCACTTGCTTTAACAAGACAACTAATCCAAGTCATTGATGTAATGTTGCAGCCCAGACATACTTCGGTTTTAAAAGACTCGACTAGTGTGACTAAAAAAGTTTCCTGTGAAAGCTGGATGGCTTAATCTATTCAACTGAATGGAATTGTCATCAGTATTTTCATATATTTTGGCTAAAGTTGGTTTCTATCTCAACTTATTTAAAAAAATAGAGGTTAAAATGCTTATTATATAATGCTTTTAAATATTACAAATTGGGAAAATGCAAACAGTAACAAACTTGTCTATTAGATCAATAATTTCTAAACATGTGCAGAGCCATTTTACAGAATCCTATAACATCAACCATTTTCAATAAATGATATTGATCTATAATAATAAAAGCATTTGCAAAGTTTCACAGTCATCCCAGTTCACAGAACTGGGATGTCCTTTTTCCACCTGACCGACTTTTTATTTTTCTGGACACCCATGCAATTAACCATCTTTCCACCCTTCACTGGTCATCTGTCTCTCTTCTTATATTCCCTGTTTTACTGTCTGTTATCTTCTTGTTCTTTTTTCCTGTTTGTTCATTTCTTTGTATTATTACACCTTCTCTATCATCTTTCTTTTTCAGTCCAGTTGCAGTTTTCTAGATTCCATCCACCTATTTAGTAAGAAGGGAACATTATCTTTTAATTAGATGGCAGTTAAAATAAAGGAGCGCTTGTCCTCAAACTTCTATGTATTTACCTTGGTAATTGGTTTCGGTACACACCCAGCCGAGGAAATTGCCCACAGAAGTGACATGCTGCATAATATGGCGCTTTGTTTTTACAAACCCAGACGGTTTATTTGAAAATGTCTTCTTTTTTTCCTACAGCCATTTTTAAAGTAACGCTAAATGATTTTGATTTACCTGGATTTTTGATTTACAAACTTTCACACTTTAATTTTTCCCACAGATTCTTATTTATTTTTTTAATCTAAAACTCTGTATGAGTTTGGGATAAATTCTGCTGTTCTATTTTGTGCCTCAGGCTGTGCAACCCCAGATGAGCTGAGCACAGAAAGAGCCCATTCTGCAGTGGAGAAGATGTTTGAGACCCTCCGCGGTTTAAGCCACATGAGAGACCACCTCAAGCAGCTGCGGTCGGTTTACACTGCAAGTGATGGAGTCCACCAGGTCAGAGATGATTCTTTTTCTCTCATTATTTTGGGATTGCAGTGATGCGTGCTATTTTCACTGCAAAAAATAGTAGAACTTTCTTAAAATACTTGTATTCACCTTACTTTAAGTAGGTATATAAGACGATCTGCCAATAGAATGAGTATTTTTATACTTCACATAAGACAATTAAATGTTATAGACTTGAAATGAAACAATACAGTGTTTTTTTTTTCCTATTTCAAATGTATTTTGTCTTATTTCATTGACAAAAATTACCTGGTTAATTCAAGAAAAAATGTCCTTATTTTAAGAAAGATTTACTTATTTAGATTAGCATTTTTTGCAGTGTAAGTGTGATCTTGTTGCTACTTGTTGTTTTTATCTTTATTTATTTTTCTTATCCCCAACACCCTTTGCTTTATCATCTCAGCAACATAAAATATACATTCAGTATATTCATAACAGGTAGTGGAAATCCAAAAGGCCAAATCTATTATTCATATCATTCAAGAATACAATATAGTAGCAAGCATTGCATCCAGTAATTTTACCCTCAGCTTTTTATTGTCATTACACTGTCACAAGTACAGAGCAACAAAATTCACCTTTAACCCATCTCCTTGGGGAGCAGTGGCTGCCATTGTGTGGTGCCCGGGGAGCAGTGTGGGGTTAAGTTTTTTTTTTTTATCTCTGTATTGCAATGTGAAGCTCTACTACTTAATCTAAAACTGCCACTCAAATCATTTTTAGCCATAGTTATTCAGCGCTGCATGTTAAACTGTTTTTAGATTGCTTGCAAAGTCAAATAACTGCTTGTTAAGGTTAGTGAATTCTAGCTAAATTCTTAACATTTTATGGAAAAACATAGAAAAAATGAAATGCAGCATTGGGCAAGGGTTAAAATAGATAATTTATATAATTTAATGCTTATTTGAGGTCAAGATGGATTTACATCGAGATTTTGTACTAGCAACTTTTGGGGGCTCATCCGGGATCCAACATTTTCAACAATGTTCCTTCTTTTTACAAACCCTTTATAGTTCTTCAATCTTTTTAGATCACTATGTTTTATTTTTATTTCAATTTGTTGTTAATTTGTTGTGCAATTTTAACGAATACATTCAAAATAAATTTTATTTAGTTTTAATATTTCAGTTTTAAATAGGATTATAGCCCTTTTTCTGTTTTGTTGTACTAAGTAATAAACAGAATTTGGTCAAAATGGAAACTTATTAATATGAATCCACCTGATTTACTGTTTGGACAAAACTATTGCAGAAATATTGCTGCGAATGTCTAGATTTCAAGAAATTTTTTTAAAGGGATGTATCAATTTGTTAAGTTTCATGTGAAAGAGAAACTTGAAGTAAGGTAGAGTTTTAAAGCGGCATAGTCACATAATTTTTTTTTATTTTATTCACAGTAGGTCAATCTGGTTGCAGACAATATTTTCTGAAATATTACCATATCAGGCTTGCACATGTTTTGTAATTTTTTATTAAGTTTTACATTTGCTAGATTTTTTAGTAAATAATGCCCTTGGTGTGTGTTTCCTTTAAGGTATGAAAGGTATGATATTGTGCTTATGCAAACGAGATAATCAAGGAGGTAATAGGCTAAACTAGTTAGCACCTTTCAGTGGAGTTATGAAAATAATGATGAAAACTCATCGATCACTTTAGATACAGATGTACAGAAAATGCAGATGTTGCTGCAGATTAGATGGATGCTGAAGTAAAAGTCCTTACTTATACTGATACAAATAAGTACAAATAAATTAATAGATGGATAGATTGATTGACTGCTCTATATAATGTGGAGGGAATGCAGACTACTAAAGATCAGAATCCAGGGCTTATCAATGGTGTAATTACTGGTGAAATAGCATCTGATTGCATAAAATTTGCCCTCATTCAAATGAAAATGTTTTAACCTATGACTTTTTATTTTAATTAATCATCATCATGTCCCGGTTGGTGTTTGGCAACATTTCTTTTTCCTTAATGTTCTTTTGGGAGGCTGCAAGAAGGATTCGCTTGGCATCAGAACTTGGAAAGACTGTAGATACATTTAGTCTAAATAGCACTATCAGAGTGGACAGCTGGTGTCAATAAGCTTCATCGTGATCAAATGTTTTTTTGTCTTTTACGTTACATGTGTTTAACGCCACTATGTCTTTTTATGTTTATTTTTGCAAACATACAAAACTTGCCATGGAAAGAGAATATAATTGATTATATTGTCTATTAATACAAAAATGTTATCACTAAACTGCACAATGCAATCCCAGTGTTTCTTTTTACTTAAGACAAGGAAAAACAATAAACCTATTTCAAATTATAGACCAGCATCTTATATATGCAAATGAGCCACAGTAACTTTGTTAGAACAGATCTGTTTATTTGTATTTTGGTGGAATTATGGAAATAACTTCATGTAAAAGGAAAACAGCATGACATCTGCCAGCTACCGCAGGTTTTCAAGAAACATCAGAAATCCATCAGCTAACCCAGCTGGAGTTCACTAAGGTGGATATTAGTTGATCCAGATGACTGTCAGATTCAGCTTTTCTTTATACACTAAGGTCCCATTTTCCTGGAATCCTTTTTTAAAGGTTATTTAGGGGCAGGCTGAGTCAAGTTGCTCTGTTAGCGGAGTGCTTGTTTTATTTCAGTAAAAGTTAAGGAGCATCTCACCTCAAGGGAGTCAAGGGTGTTTTCAGTGTCATGATGTTTTGTAAGTTGGTCACTGTATGCTGTTTAAAAAGGCATAATCAAGGTCACTCTTTTAATTAATTGTCAAAAATAAGTTTATTGGTGAAAAAGATGAAAAAAAGAAAAAGAAGGAAAATTTTAAATGTTTTGTAAAATGATGCACTGAGCCTTTAAAATTACACAAGATTGAACTACTTCCATTTAAAAGCAATCAGATAAGTTTTTTTATTATTATTATTTGTTATACAATAAAAATGTGCCTTTGGTTTGTTTACTGCTTAATTTTAGCAATATTAGTATGTAAAAATTATATAAACAAAACTTACTAAAGTGTTTTACTCAGAGTAAGAAATACACATATCTAAAAAAAAAAAAGAGGCTGAGGGTCCAAGAAAAGGTCAGAATAAAACTCTGTTATATTTCAAGCCCCACAAATCAATGCCTTTTTCTCTACAGAAAGTTTTTCAGGGTAAATAATTTGCAAATGGTTCACATGTCCATTGCAAAACACCAGACTATGTAGTAATATGATGTATTTAAAATGTTGGCATTGTCAAAGGAAAACAGTTTATTCATAAATGGAACGAAGAGCTGGAAAGACGGCTGTGAAGCAGAACAAGTTCATAAGAGAAGGAACTTATTCAGTCATATAATGAATGTTTATTACATGTATGGAAAGCTCTCAGAAATAGAATTAATAAAAGTGCTTTTTGGTCCTTTGGAAATTCAACAAAATTTATTCTCTACCAGTTTCTGTTTCTCTGAGTTTAAAAACAGTTGTAGTTCACTAGAATTAGCAAAAACTAGAAAGATGTAGAGCTTTATTTTCTCCTTCAGTAAAATGTTGGAGGATTTTTTTGTTTTTCTTAAAATAAGTACTTTTTTTTTTCTTGATTTGAGGAGATAAATTTGACACTTTGCCGATGGCACAAGACAGTTTACATTTAAAATACAAAAAAAGAAAAATGTGCATTGTCTTATTGTCTTCAAATGCTTATTATGCTAAAGGACCTATACTTATAGCGCTTTTTCAAGTCAGAGGACTTGACCAAAGTTCTTTTCACTGCATTCAGTCATTCAAAAACTGATGGTGGTAAACTACAGTGTAACCACAGCTGCCCTGGGTCTCACTGACTGAAGCAAGGCTGCCGTACAATGGCGCCACCAGTCCCTCTGATCACCATTACTACGCAACAAGGGTCATGTGTCTTGCCCAAGGACACCATTACACCGGGGCTTGAACTGACAACCCTCCGGTTCCAGGGCTCCTTCATCTGACGCCACTGTGGCCCCAATATAATCTAATTATCTTAATTTAAAAGTAAAAATACTAATTCCATTGGCAACTCATCTTATTTACCCACTCAAATTAAGGGTACATACACTAAATACATAAATTTAAGACATTTTTACTTGTTTCTAGATTGTTTTATGTTTATGCATTTAGTAGATGCTTTTATCGAAAGCGACTTACAAAGTAGACACAATTTCATAGTTATCATCAATATGACAAAAAGTTCTCTAAAGGAAAAAATCCCTAATCAGAATCAGTGGTGACAGCAAAAAGATAGAGGGAAGGTGGACAGAGTAATAAAGGGGAACAGAGCTATGGGTAAGAGTTAGGATAGGAGATGCTCCTTGAAGAGGTGTCGTTTTGCAGTGTGAGACTGGCTCACTCCAATACATCCTAAACACGTTCCATTGGAGTGAGCTCTGCTAACTGGGTAGCCACTGGAGAACAATGGACTCATTGTTATCTTTAAGAAATCAGTTTGAGATGACTTGGGATTTGTGACATGTAGTATTATCCTTCAGGATGTTTCTGTTACAAGGTGGTTAGTCTGTGGTCAGTAAAACTCTGTGGACTGGAGAGTTTAAATGATGCTCATTTAAGAGAAGCCCAACAGCTGCCTCCTCCATTCTACTTTACCAGCAGACTTATAGGGAAGGATGGGTCTGTTTTCTTCGTATCTAGATTACATTTTAACCTGACCGTAAATGTTGAAGCTTAAGTCATTTCTCAGAGGATCACGCATCATTTTTTAAGTTTTAAATTTTTTCAGCCTCATCAAATCAAAGCTTAATTTTCAAAGTTTTTTTTTCAGGTCAGCAGTTCGTAAAATGTTCAGCCACTCCTACGTCCTCCTTCATCCTGAATCAGATCCATGGTTTGAGCTTTAACGAGTCATCTTCCCTTCGTTTAGATGCTTAAATGTATCAAGCTGCTGCAACATGATTGGCTGATACGCTGTTTGTGTTAAAGCAATTTCAAATCATGAGAGTCTGTGTATGAGGTGATTAGTGCTTTATTTTGAATAAGTATGGAATATTAATGATTAGAAAGACTTCTGAAAAAACCGACAACATTAACAGACACATGACAGCTCCTCTGTTTGCATTAATTATGCTCCTGTAATTCAAGTAATAGCTGTTCATGCCAGCAGAGTGCAGAAATTGAAAGCTGTTCCAAGAAAAGGAGAACTTAAATTAGCTGCAAGTGGTCAAACCTGTGGCAGAATGAGCCTGAACCAATAAACTGAGGTCTCCAGAGAGAGGAGGTTTAATTTCCCTGCTGGTGTAAGAGCCCCAGTTAGGCTCTAAGAGCACAGAGATGGGACTTACATAAGAGAACCCAGTCTCTACTGATCCGCCACATTATTATGGCCCATTACCAAGTAGTTGGGGTCTTTGTGACATTCACTGGTTTTTCCAGAACGCCCCACAGATAAATTGAGATCCTGAAATTTGTTGTTCCTCATTGCTTTGTTGATAAATTCGTCGGGTATGACGTGGACATCCTGACCTTTTTGAAGCTGCTGAACCTCGCAGCAAACTAACCCACATACTCCAAAACATGTACCTTTAATCTGGAAAAAAAAAGGGATGCGTTATATGCAACCCATTTTTAGGGAACAAATAAAAACAAAACTGCTGATTATTTTATTCACTGCAACATCCCAGCCTGATACTTTTTTTGTGTCAAAGTGGGACTATTTGGTTATGAAACTTTTTTTTTTCCCTACAACCAGATACTATTAACCATTAAAAGTATTTCAACAGATACTTGATACTCTTATTTCAAGCAGCCTGTTTTTACATGCATGCTTGTGTTTGCAGAGGAATATTTAGGCCGTGTCATGGTGATATGAGTAATCCCCATGTTGCTTTTGTTCTGTGGGTGTTTGAGGCGGTAGTTTAATTGAACTGCTTTTACTGTAGCTTTGTGAAAACAGATGAAAATAGAAAGGTGAGTGACCACAGGTTTGATCAGCATGCAATGAGTCATCACTTTGTTTACGTCGAGGTTCATTTCTGCACACTGACCCATTAGGCTGTATGATTTCAAAAATCCTCATTTGGCTGCTCGTTGTAGTGGGAGGTGGGTAAACAAACAGAAAGAGGATATTAGTGGAAACTTCAACACGTATATAAACAGTTATGCAACTTTTGATCTGTAGGTGAGTTTGTTTTATTAATCATATTAATAAACGTGCTCATTTTCACCTCGATTTTGAAAATGAATAAATAAACTGCCATGTCACCATGCTTTAGCCTCAGGGAGAATAAGAACGTATCCAGCGTTCCAGACCAGCATCTGCACAGACTTCTGCCATAGCGAGCTCTGCCAAGTCTTATCTGGGTCTTTATTGTTCTCTGATACAGCAAAACTTCACTTCCATAAAATAAAAAAACCTGCTTTGAATTCTTGGTCCATCAGCTAAGAGTTATAAATGGCATATTTCGGCCTGCGCAGCTGGGGGGGAAAAAGTCCTTGTTAGTTGTGAGGGTTTTTTCTTTTTTTTACCTAGCTATTCAAAATATTAGAAGATATTTCTGAGCTCCTGCTTTATCAAGGGCGTGTGTTTATGTAAGCTCTTGTTTTTTTTTCTGTTGGGTTGAATTAAATGAGAAATCGGGTGGTTTTGATAAACCAAGGATGACTGAATATGACAGAAAAAATATGCTTTGTGGGCAGATTTATGGGTTATTTAGGTAACAGTATTTTTTTTTTTAACTGCCAATACCTCCTAATAACCATACATCCCTTTAGCATAGAAGATTCTCCCTTCTAGGGGAACCTTCTTTTTTGTCAAGAAAACTGTGTTTTTGTCTTTAAATAAAAAACCAAAGTCTTGATCTTTGGTTCCAGACACATCTTATTGCCTCATATGGTAGCAGTTAACCTACAGTGGGTGTTATTGTACCTGTCTAAATGCTTTTTAAAGCAGTGGGAAGTTTATTGTTGGTTATTTCTGCTAATGGTAGGTTTTGTTGCTCTCAAGTTTGATGAGATGCATCCTAAATTGAAGAAAAATGGGAATATCTCTTTACATCTGGCTAAAATGAAAATAAACAAATATTATTTTCTTTTTTTTTTTTCAAGTGATTCTTAGCTTGATTTATCCGCTTCACCACCCACTCATAATTGGTCAACAGGCTGTTTTTAGCCACATTTAATGGATTTTTCTGTCTTGGCTGCAGAGGTGTTTAAGCTCCTCTTCCTGAAGTGACTCATAAGTCAACAGGCTGTTTGGCTGAGATGAGCTGTTTATAACTCTGTTGGGAGACGTTTTATACAACACTGGGAGGGGGTAATAGGAGGACACAGTCAAGGAGAAACTAAGTATTCATATTAATTATACACAGAGAGTTGGTTTTGAATTTTAGTACTAGAAGTGCTGTCCCCACCATTGTTTTGATCAGTAACCGTCCTCCCATGTTTTCCAGGCCACATACCGTCCGTTCCTGCGACAGATCCTGGAGGAAGTTTTCCAACCAGACCGACCCGAATGCCCCGACATCGAACACATGTCAGGAGGCCTTACAGACCTGCTGAAGACCGGATTCAGCATGTTTATGAAGGTTAGATATATAAGAAGTTATGCTTTCACTCCAACAACTTTCACAGCAACCAGGGTTTTCTAAGAATAGAATAGAATAGAAATCTATTTTATTCTCCACGAAGAAAACAATCCTGGTTTTTGGGTTAGTTTTTCTCTCATCTTTTACTGTAGGAAGTGGGGTAAAATATCTACCCTAAAAAGGATAGATACATTTACATTTTGTTTTACTCATCCTTTAGTTTGTCTTTATGTTCATTTCAAATTGCATACAAGAGATTTATTTATCTTTTTGTGCAAAAACACAAACTCTGTCATGCTATCAGTTAAGTCCACATAAACAACCCAGCTTTATGACCCCCACAATGAAATCATTAACAAAAAATAGCCTTGTTGGTAGAAAGTTTTGGGAAATTTCTTTCAGTAACCTTTACAAAAAAATTATCAGAAAAAAGGCTAGTGTTGATGTTATACATGCCATCTACCAAACAGGTCTAGGATCAGTGGCGGCTGGTCATTAGAGGAGGCCAGGGCGCCGCCCCACCCACCAATTGACCTTGATTAACAAAAATTTTTTTTAAATTTTCACCCTAGGGTACAAAATTATTTGCCCATTGACTCTCGTTAAAAGTTGTACGTGCGCAGTACCTCCTCTGCAATGCAAAAGGTATAGGAGAGCTCAGGGTGCACCTCTTATGTGCGCCCTGAGCTAACAGGAACTGTTAGCAGATCATGGTGCAGCTGATTGACAGGTCAAGTCGCAGAGGTGAAATCCCTTAAAGCAAACCTACCAAGAGAAGCTGGAGGGGAAAGGGTTTAGGCTGATCAGCCAAACATCAAAATTAATCAGCAGTCCAAAAGACAGATGGAGACGGTTCACTCGCTCTTTTTCCAGGACCTGGTTTAGCTACAAGGCTTGGCTAACTGCATGCAGCAAGGCTAATGTTTTATTCTGCTGACTTGACTCTCTGCCTCCTTTTTCAAACGTCAGGATCTGATGCATCATGGATAAAGACAGATAGGACTGATTTAAAGCACTTTTTAGAAAAGGCAGAGAAGAATGAAGAATCTGGGATTCTCGTGGAAAATAACATAATATAGTGTACTTTTTATAGAAGTTTCTTAATTTGCATAGTTGCTTAAACATACACGTTCTCAGAAAATAAATAGTTTTCATATATTAAAAAGATATAAAGCTGACTAAAAGCTTCTCCATTATTAAACTGGTACATTTTTTCTTACATTTGTGACACAATATTGGACCATGCAAAACACAGATTTGCCTTCATAAAGGCTCAGAAGGGCTAGATATATGTACAAAAAGTAAACCTGTAAATGAAATTATGTTTTGTTTTTAAAAAGTGTTTTTATAGTGTTTTTTTTTTTTTTTTGGCATTCATATAAATAAACTGGTGTGATAACTTGGCATAAATTCGATTGGTTTTTGGTATACGAGAAGACTCCACCACTGTTTAGGACACTACATGCAACTCCATGTATTATTAAAAACATGTCATGTTTTATTCTAACTGGATTTGTAAACACCTTAAGAAGAAGGAGAAAAAGCACAGAACACAGGTTTTAGGACCAACAGCCACGTGTCTCCACATGGAGTCCCAGCTGCTCCTTTTTCAAAAATGCTGCTCTAGATGGGCCTCCCCACTGGGGAAAAAAAAGCACTCGAATTCTGGCTTTTAATCCAAATCAGTTGGTGCACATTGATGAATACATGCTTTTTATATACACCTTATTCACCTCCAAACATGGACAGGGGATCATGTCAGTGTTCCACTTAAAAGGGTTTTATTTCTTCCACATTCAATAGCTTAGAAAGGTATTTAGTATCAGGCTTCAGACAAACACAGAGCAGGACAAAGGTTTGAAGAAGGAAGTAGTATATGCTGTGGTGTAAGTTAGTATCAATCCCTTTAACTCTGATACTCTAAATTAAAATCTGTGTAAGCAACTTCCTGCAGAAAATAACAGTTTATTTATTTTTTTTTTTTTCCTTTATTTAACCAGGTAAATCTCATTTTCAAGGTGGACCTGGGCAGAGATTTGTTAAAAGTAGAAAAGGTTTCTGCCTCATTATTTAAAAAAATACTATACCAGTAAGTCCACATGTGTGTTAAACACATGTGGACTCAATCAAAATGTGTGCTTAGTAAAAAGTATGCTTAATACCTGCTTAAGTTATTTTCAAAAGTGAATTTTAATTTAAAAAACATTCAAATGCAATAAGGTCAGTATCTGTTATTCTCCCTTTGTCTTGGTTTATCACAGCAAGGCCCAATAAAACACGTTTGAAAGGTGTGAAATATCTTTGTAAGGTTCTGCAAATTAGTCTCTTATATAAAAGTTTACTTTAAAGAGTTTAGTTATTCTTTTTAAGAGAATAAATACGTTTTTTGTTAGAGAAAAGATCCTTGCGAAGGTTGATTTGAGTCATACAGCCTTCAACATCATAACAGTCGCTGAAGGAAAAACAACTCAGGTTAACAATTATGCTTGTGAATACAGGAACCTTGGCCTAGTTTAGCACTTATTAAGAAACGTTGCCTAAAAAAAGGATAACTCAAAAAGAATAAAGTTATAAACCAGAACTTGAGGCGTGAACCCTTTTTAGGCAATAAAACACCACTATAAAATCTCTATTTTTAACCAAAGAACCCGCCGTTAACATGGTTTATAGGCTATAAGACTGGACCCTGCTGTCTGAGCTGAAGGCCTGTGCAGTGTTGCTCAGGAGAGCCCCTCCAACTGTCTGTGACCACGCTTGTTTGTGTGTCTGGTGTGCCATGTTTAGTCTTTGTTGAAACAGAGTCCCACTTGTCCAAGAGTCGCTCCCGCTGCTTCAGTCCAACTCCTCCATAGTAGGTTTGTATAAATGACTTTTAAAAAAATGGGACGTCGTCCAATCCGCTGTTTGGACACTAACGTTATTGATGGTGTCATATGATCACAGAGAAATAAAGAGGAGAGGCGTTTGGGCCTTTACCAGGAGGTGGGGCCTCATTTTAAACCTGAAAACCTGCCATTGAAAGGAACAATAACTGATCTAAAAGATAACAGCAGCTTACTAACATGGGGGTCTGTCCTACAAGAAAAAAAAAAACTATCTGCAGTTTGTAATTAAATTTACATCCCTGATCATTTTTTGGTCGTAACATAAAGTCATTATGATGGGCTGGAATTTGAGCCTTTTTTATGTATGAAGGTGTTTGATCTGTTCAGCATCCTTTCAGCTGGGACCAGCTCCCCTGTTCTAAATGAACATCCCACAGCATGATGCTGCCCCTAACGGGTTTTTAGGTGGTATGTAATAATAAAAAAAATACGAGGAGCATAAAAGCTATTGTAAGCTACTATTATATTTCTGTATGTGAGGTTAAATAATTTATAGGTTAAAGAGCCTTCATAAGATAGGAGTTCAACCCTCGAGTTAGTTTGAAATGAGAAATTATCAAGGAGCACTGCATTATGGGAAATCATGGTAGCACTGTTGCTTTGTATTAAGAAGGACCTCGTCTCAGACAAATCTGTCTGAGACTCTTAATTGTGCCCCCACCCCCTTCACTCAACTATCGCAGTAAGAATCCTAACCTTAAAGACGAGGGATCAGCAAATTATTACATTTGAAATATAACCGTTAATTTAAAAAAAAAAAAGGGGAATTTCCAAATGTCAGAGCCTCAAAATATTTGTCTGGTCACAATTAACAAAGGTAAGATGCTAACTTTTTCATCCCGCCCCTTAGGTGGTAGAAACACATTTTAACCGATTTTGCCACCATAATAAAGAGAGGAGAGTTGCAGCTAGCTCAGATCCATGCATCTGAGCTAGAAGTAGACGCAACAGTAAGGTCTCAAAATAATGGACAGCTGAGCATTTAAGGTCATGCCAAGAATGAATTACTGAGCAAAATATACCAATATGTTTGTTAGAAGGCTGCCCCGATCCAATGTTAATATCCGAAATTGGATCGATATCAGCCAAAAAAATTAACATGGGAATATACTGTATCAGCCTGCCTCTAAAATCTCCTTTATTAGGAAGCTCATAGAAACACTTAACTTCTATGCACTTTTATTTAAAGTTTGTAGGTCAATTGTTATATAAAATAAGGAAAAAAGTTTGTATAAAGAATGAATCCTCTAAGCTGCCATATTGGTGTCGTATCACAAATTAAAAGGTTGTTTCTGGACACACCTAGCTTGTGATAAGTGAACGGTAAAAATGATAAAATAATTGCAATTTATGTCAAAAAAGAAGCTAAACAGATGTGCTATGATATATTTAACAGTAAGTTTGCTTTACGGATTTTTTTCCTTTTCCAATATCTAAGAAAGAGACATCAGAAATTATAAAAAGAATACATTTTCATAATAATTTATATTAACATCTGTCGTTGTCTTTGATTTGATCAAAAATTGTTTTGTTTTTTTCTTATTATTGCAGAGGAGTCTGAAGAACGATTTGCATGAATACAAAACAATATTTTTCAGCTGGAAAAAAAAAAAACCTCACTTACATTTTATCAATGTAAAAGGTATAGCGGATGATTTTCGCAAAATTTTGAAAAGACCCACCGTCTCCACCGAGAGGTATCGTCCAATTGAACGCGTGCGAGAGCGTGCACAAGCACATTTCTCCTCGTGCACACCCTGTTTAAAAGTTGCTGTTTGCATCGCTCATACAAGCTCACTTTCCAAAAGAAGATTTGCAGTTTTTCCTCTTTGTAAGAATCACACCAGTAAGTGGAAATGGAGACGAGCACTTAGGATGGCCTTACTTAAACATATCACCAGAATGATTGACTATAAGGAGGACCGTTTATTTTTATGATCCACCTGGAAAAAGAACATCCTCTACTATACCTTTTAATAGTTTGTTTTTATGCAGAGGTAACCTTCCACACAGTTTGCTAAATTTTACCCTTAAAAGAACAAGTTTGGAAATAATCTGAAGTCATTTTTTGTCCTTTTTTTTAGCTTGATGTGAAAATTTGTTTTGCTCTCCATGTTATCCATTTAGAGCCTAACATTACACTGGAAAAACTATGTAGAAATAAGTAAAAATTTCTTTAATTCTGTGTATTTACCATTAATTTGATTGGGTAAATAAGATGATTTGCCAATGAAATTACTATTTTTACTCTTAAAATAAGATAATTAGATAATATGCACTTGAAATAAGACAATGCAGTTGTTTTTTTCTTATTTTAAATGTTAATTTTCTTGTTCCTTTGGCAAAGTGTCTCACTTACTTCCTCAGTTCAAGAAAAAAAACAATTATTTAGATTGCAATTTTTTGCAGTGTAAGCTTTAAGTGTAAGATTTTTTATTTATTTGCTAGGTGTTTTGATGAGCCTCATCATCCTTTTTCTTACACTGTAAATCATGTCTGTGCTCATGGCCCCTCCCTCTGCTTGCCCCATGGCAGCACACATGGCTCATGGTGTGTGTCTTTAGGCGCACACTGCTTGTGTTGGGCTCTCACATGGAGCAGGCATGTCCCTTGATGTCTTAGTTAATTTAAAATGGTAACATAACACGAGCAGAATCAGCCTGAATAATATTCGCTCGCACCTTTTTTTGCAGAAGCATGTTAAACCATCCCTGACACGCCTCAGTCCACATGTCGCATCACAGGCTGCCGCTTCACGTGGACAGCCACCCTTGCCACAGGTCCACCCCCTGCCGCTCTGATTGCTCGGTTAGCACTTAGAGGTTTGTCCTGACCGCTGCCAGCCAACCAATAGAACTACGCCTTCATGACCCAGCGACCAATAAGCCTCCCACTTCGCTGCTGCCAAATGGCATGTCGTAAAAAGGTCTGTCGGAGGCCCCTCTCACACAGGATGGTGGGACATTTGTATCCGAGGAAAAGCAGGTGTGAGCAACCTGCTTCCATTTTCACGTGTCAGCCATCCTGACACCAGTGTGTGGATCCAGAAAACAACACCTACATTCATGGTTTTACTACAAGCAGCTGCACCGTTAGAAACGCAAACATGAGTAGAATCAGATGGTTGATTTAAATGTGATAAAAACTTTAGGATGATGTTTCACAAAAAGTGCTGTAAAAAATGAAATCACTATAACGACCTGCCCTGATTTCCAGGTGAGCCGTCCACGTCCAGGCGACAACCCTCTGCTCTTCTTCTTCCTGGTCGGTGGAGTGACACCATCAGAGCTTCGCCTCATCAAAGATACAGTCAGCTCACTCAAACCAGGAACACAGGTCAGTAGGGTAAAGAGGTAGAAACCCTGTTTTTTAGCATCAACTTAAGCTTTTTACTCAAGTAAAAGTGTAAAAGTACCATTTTTAAAAATAATTAAAGTATAAAATAAAAGTAATTTAGGAAAACATTTTAAGGAGATCTACTTTAAAACTATTAAACCTATTAAGGAAAACAGTTTTCTAAATTCTGGATGCTGACTTCCTTATACTTAATCTTTTTAGTGTTTTAACTAATGGTAAAAGAGTCAAATTTAACTTTTCATCATCTTGAAAAATTATTAATTTCAGTATGTGGAGAATAACAAGTTGGTGCAGCACCAAGTCCTACCACAAAGACATGAATTGTCTGGATAAAACTAATTATTTTTTATGTGTTTTTGTTTGTTTTTTTAAATACCAACAGGCAATAATGAAAATGAGCTCAAATGGAGTCTATTTTTTTTATTTAATGAGTTGAAAGTAAAAATAATTGCAAAAAAAATATGAGGGATAGAAGTAAAAATTTTTCTAAAAAATAATTACTCCAGTAAAGTATAGATATCCAAAATTTCTACTTCAGTAAAGTAATGAAGTATTTTTACTTTGTTAACCCCATTTTTTAGCACAAACATTTCACAGTAATTCTTAAATATTGGCTTTTTTAAATAAATGTGTAAAGACTGTCGGACTGGAATTTGTGTTAGGATAAAAAATAAACATGTATTAGGTTCTAAAAATAAGAAAATACAACAAACTTTATGAATAATATGTTTTAGATTATTTCTTACTGTTTTAAAGAAATGGCAAAAATGCAATAACTTTATTTTTGTCTGATTTTTTGAAGTGTTCCAGTCACATTTGTCAATTTGTTTATTTCTTCCTCTGGTCTGCTTACAGTTTCCCAAACCCTGCAAAGCATTAACTGATATTCACATAAAGTTAGATGCAGATTGATATTTAACCTTTTAGCTTTAGCCATGAAGAATAAAAGCAAAGACTCTGATTCATGATGGGTCGTAAGTCCTGACCTAATTACGCAGGTGGCAGAGATCAGGTGTGAAGGTTAGAGCCCTGTCTGATCTTTCCAAGGATTGATGCAGTTTTCACATGTCTGCCTGTTTGTTTAAGGCCGTCTAAGTGCCTTATACATATGCAGTCCACACCGCCACACAGAACATGCAGATGCATGCAGCTTCTCTGGTTGAGAGGAGGGAAAAAAAGGGACATCAAACGGGGTAATGTAGGGTTTTTATAATAAATGGCTTTGAAAATTAGGCCAGAGGCAATGAAAGGCTTGACAACGATCAAAGCTGTCCATGTTGTAATTAAGAGAGCTGAATAAAGATGAGATTATACAGTAACCTAGTGGGCCACACACACACTAACCAGAGCAGGTTCATGTGCAACACGCTGTCTACGTGTAAACGCACAGTGGCTGGTGTCTGCTGTCCAGATGTGGCTGAGGGTTCTGCTTCTGCAGAACTTCCTCACAGACATGCTCACTCTGCCATTACAGCCAATTTTAGGTGCTGACCTGAAGTTAAAGCAACACTGCTGAGCAGAAACAGAGCTCCTCTGTTGTGTAACGGCACTGCTGCCCTCATTCTAACTACAGCACCATTGGAGGGTATAAACCAAGTAAAACTGCAGTCTTAAACTTTATCTTCATCTGATTGTTGCTCTGCATCCAGGTAAACAAGCAGCACACAGCACCAGATAAAGAGCTTTACCAATGAAAACATCAAACGTCCAAATTAAGGCTTGGAAAAATATGTAGTAAACAGAAGAGTTAAACAAACCAGAATAGGTTTCATATTTTAGATTCTATAAAGCCGCCACTGCTTTCCTTATACTGCGTTATCTGAAGAGGAATGGTTTTTACTTATCATGCGAGGCCTGAGAGAAGAACTTCTTGCCTTCTTAGGTCGTGTTCACAGTCAGGACCCAGGCTGATTCTCATTACCACTATTTGTGTCTGAAATAATACAGGGCTTTAGAGAAGAATTCAGGCCAATCAGATTTTAAAAAGAATGCACAAAGTTTTACACAAAAAAGATCCTGCATTTATATGCACCGATGTATGAGTGAATACTTTGCAGGACCACCTTTTGCTGAAACTAATTCCTCCGATTTTTTTGGTGTATGTTTCTACCAGCGTCGCCCATCTAAAGGCTGGTAATCTTCTAATTTTCAAGCAAAATAGTTGAAGCTCTTTATGCTTTGTAAGGCCTCCCTCCACAATATCAGGTCTATAACGGTTTTTGTTTAGTTAATCTTGAAACAAAAACAAAAAAAAAACAGAAAGCTTAAAGTACCAGGAATAAAATAAACACATAATATTCATTATCAGAAATATCACCAAACAACAATCAGTTTGTGTTTAAGTAAACAGTATATATAAAAATTATTGTAATTTCCTTTTTTTTTTCATACATTCCTTGTGAGCGAGCAGAAGTTGCAACGTCCTGGCGTCCTTTTTTTCTATTATAAAACCCTTGCTTGGTTTGTAAATTAGGGCAAACATGTCCAAGTTGGTTAGACTTAAACTTAGACTCAACTTTATTTATCCCTTGGCATCACTCCTTCAGGGAATTTCTGATTCCGGTAGCTTATACAGAGTATGAAGGGCAGAGTTAAACCAGGATGACATTAAAAATAAAAATAGAACAGACAATATAAAAAAAAAATTTAGAAAGTACAAAAGAGCTTAAAAAAAGTTGTAATGTCATTGAAAATGTTTCCCTTAGATATAAAAAATCTGCACAGTAGAGAACTAATGGAAAACTACACAGTAGGTGACTTGGATTATTGCACCTGTACTGTAGAAATGTACAGACCTTATAAATAAGTAAGAAATTAGAGATTGCTCAGTAGTTGTTATGTGTTACTGCACAGGTTAGCAGTTGTTCCATCGTCTCTCCAGTCCTGGACGATGAATTGAACAGTTCTCAATGAGATCTCCAAAGCTGGGCATATCCTACCCTAACCATCCCTAACTCCTGTCTGGTGTTTTCTCTCCTCTATTGACTTAAAAATAAAAGTTAATTTCCTAAAGCTGTGAAGGCAATTGTCTCACTGTAATCAGGGACCCACCCTCCATCTCACCTTCACACACACACACACACCCACACACACACACACACACACACACACACACACACCCACACACACACACACACACATCCCTTCTTAGACACACAGACAAGATTAGAAAGACATTAACCCTCCCTGCTGATGGTCAAATAGACCAACAGCCCATTTCACACAATGCTACCTGCTTAATATCATTTGTTGTATTTATATCTTCTGAAAAATGTGCTAAAACAAAAAAATTCTTTATAATGAGTTAATAGTAATACTTATATTTCCTTCTTCATAAGTGCTTCTAATTTCTGTCTGTGTTCATTGTGAGACAGATGTCTCAATAAAATGACAAAGATTCTTGATTCCTGATTCTGGAAAGAATCCATTTTCAAACTTAAGCTGGAGAAATCACCATTAGATTTTTTTTCTCACTGCTGTTTTTTTTTTTTCCTTTTTCTCTGTGACCCTGTTACCTGTTAGCTTCTCCTGCAAATCAGCTTCTAGTCTCTTAACCCGCTGCCTGTTGGATAACTCGATTTTTTTTGTCAGTGTATCCTACATCTGTCCTTTGTTCAGATCCAGAAGGATTTGTAAATGTTCTGCTCCTGAACCAACTGCTGGATTCTCGTTTGTTGATTTTGTGCTTTTGTCATAAGCTTTGAATTTTAATCCTTGCCTGGGATTTAAAACTTCACCTGCTTTGTTTTCCCTAACCTGCCACCTTCTACACCTTTGCCTTCTAAATTCAATTCAATTCAATTCAATTTCAATTCAATTCAATTCAATTCAGTTTATTTATATAGCGCCAAATTCACAACACATGTCATCTCAAGGCACTTTACAGTTCAACCAGATCATACAGTCAAATTGATACAAAGTTTCCTATCCAAGGAAAACCAGCTGATTGCATTGACTCATTGACTCAAATACAATCCCCCACACTAAGCATGCCTGTAGCGACAGTGGAGAGGAAAAACTCCCTTCTAACAGGAAGAAACCTCCAGCAGAACCAGGCTCAGTGTGAGCGGCCATCTGCCGAGGCCGACTGGGGTTCAAGGAGACAGAAGCAGAGATACAAAAAGCAGCTGTAAAAGGCGGCCCCGTCCAGGAAACACACAGCCAGGCAGACGAGCTCCAAGGCAGCTCCCATGCCAGAGGACGAAGAGAACACATCCACTCAGTCACGGTCAGAGAAACAGGACCACACTGGAAAACAGGCCGATCTCCAACATCTATTAACAAGGGTGTTGATAGAAGCAGCACAGCTGATGTTTCTCTCCAGGATGACGTCACAGCCAAACAGGAACAGACGAGGCAAAGCTACTCTGAGGAAAAGCAGAGAGAGCAGAAGGTTAGAGATTGAACTAACAGACTCTGCAGAATAGGAGAACAGAGAGAGAATGAAGCAGAATGATGAAATGGGGGTCCCTATGTCCTCCAAAAGTCTAAGCCTATAGCAGCATAACTATAGAGATAGCTCAGGATAACCTGAGCCACCCTAACTATAAGCTTTATCAAAAATGAAAGTTTTAAGCCTAGCCTTAAAAGTAGACAGGGTGTCTGCCTCACGGACTAAAACTGGTAGTTGGTTCCACAGGAGAGGAGCCTGATAACTAAAAGATCTGCCTCCCATTCTACTTTTAGAAATTCTAGGAACCACTAGTAAACCTGCAGATTGAGAGCGAAGTGCTCTGTTAGGAACATAAGGAACAATCAGATCTCTGATATAAGATGGAGCTTGGCCATTTAAGGCTTTATATGTGAGAAGGAGGATTTTAAATTCTATTCTTGATTTAACAGGAAGCCAATGAAGAGAAGCCAGGATAGGAGAGATATGATCTCTCTTTTTCATTTTCATTAGAACTCTGGCTGCAGCATTTTGGATCAGCTGAAGGCTTTTAACTACAGTTTGTGGACTTCCTGATAGTAAAGAATTACAATAGTCCAGCCTTGAAGTAACAAATGCATGGACTAGTTTCTCAGCATCACCCCTGGACAGGATATTTCTAATTTTTGCAATGTTCCTCAGATGAAAGAAGGAAATTCTAGAAACCTCTTTGATATGGGATTTAAATGACAGGTCCTGATCAAAAATAACACCAAGATTTTTTACTTTATTATCTGAAATCTAAAATATATCTATTTGTATAAAAGAAGATGTGAATATAGCAACTTTTATACAATCTTATATTTAATATAATAGTTCTGAACAAGCTCACAACAATCTTTAAGCTCACATCATTTATGGTTAGATTGAAATTGTAGCTTAGTTGTTCTCCTGTGACGGATGGTAGGATCTGGTTAAGATTTAATTTTGATGTTAGTCATATCTTTAAAAGAGGTGTTTTCATTGTTTAGATGGTGCTTTAAAAACTGCTTGTTTCACAAACAACATTCCTTTTTATTCTGGAATTAAAAAATAAATAAAAATCAAACATTTATGCAGATGATACACATGTTTACTTTTATTTTTGTAGGATGAATCAATCCTGTCATTGATTTCAATATAAAAATATATATATAAAAATAAAAAAAGAAAGATTTTAAACTTTGAATCCTTAGTTTTAGATCAGAGAATTTACTTTCATCTACACTGAAAGACATTCAGAAAGATTAAAACATATTCAATATTTATTGGCTTTTTATCCCAGTTGAAGGAAATGGTACCTAGATGGCTTTAAAAAAAATAGCAACTTATTTTTTGTTATAGTTTTATTATTTTTCACTTGCTAAATGGTGTATTATCAATGATGAGGATTTCCCCTCGACCTTTAGGTTTTTGATGCTACAAATGTTTGTTTTATTATTATTATTTTATTAGTAATGAAATGAGCAATATTTTTTAACGTTTCTAATAGGATTGTAGCCTTTTATCTGAAAGCAAATACAGTTAAAGGTTCTATATCAACGACTTTATACAACATTTAAGATATTCTAAAAAAAAATTGTCTTTGATTTAAAAAGAGGAAAAATGAAACTTAAACTTCAGTATGGATAACCATTTGTTACTTTCCTTCTTTACCCATAAAGCTGCTGAGGTTTGGGTTTTTGATTAATTCTTTGTTTTCCAAATGCTTCTTGCATAATTTAAGCCAATGCCAAAGTGCATAGAGGGATAAAGATCTTCATCGTTTGTTTGCTGTATGTTCCCCAAGCGGCTGCAATGAAACACCTTACTGATTTTGATCAGAGATAAACAAATTTATAGCAAAGTTTTGATGCCTCAACTACAAATCAGGGAAAAGTGATTAAAGCTACAGAAAATAAAGCTTTAACCTTCACCCAAATTCCCTCTTGTTTATTCAGCAGTTGCCGAGGTTTCAGTCTTTTTTTTTTTTTATGTTGTTGGCCGTCCTCGACCTAACACCTCTGCTCTGATTGTAAACCCCTCGACCCCTGCGGTGTTGACAGGTGAATGTTAAAGGTCAGTGCGAGCGGTCTGCTTCTTTACATTGAAATTAAACTGCCCAGCTTGAGTCGCAGGTGGTTTCCATGAATCCCAAAGCTTTTCTCACACATCCTTCAATGCATTGAAAAGTCACGGCTGCCGTGTCAGAATAAACATCCGATTGGGCTTAACATTTCCATTTTTAAAAAATGAACAACATTATTTCATGTTTTTGACCCAGACGAAAACTTGACAGCTGATCCAGGAAACGGATAAACTTCTGTTACCTTCTAAGAAATTAGCTTTAGGCCTAAGGTGAAAAGAAAAAATAGAAGAAATGGTTGGTAAAGTCTGAACCCTGTTAAGAATTTACTGTTTAAAAAAATGTTCATTTAATGTAACCCTTTATAGGGCACTATAAAAAAATCAAAATTTTAAGCCAATAGTGTTATTGAATCCAAGAACTTTTACCTTTGTAACATTTAAAGAAATAATGATATTTTGATGGCAAAAATGAATGTCAACTTAATAACAAGAAACGCCAACTTACCCGAATATATTAGGAAAAATAACAAAAGTGCTTCTATAAGAAATTCATGAAACCCTCTGACAGTGAAAGAAACACATTTTTTTTTGCTACAACATAACCTTTAATACTGCGGCTTATATTTTTGAGTTTATATACCTAAATATAATTGTAACTAGGCTTATTAACTTTACTTTTTAAGTTTTCAATTAGCTTTTTACCTTTTTCTTGACTTATTAAAACAAATTTTTTACTTAATTTACAGTAGGTAATACATCATTCAAGGGCTCATCTAATTGGTCAAATGCCAAAATAAGATGTACAGCCAAGTAGCAGCATCTTTGCTGAATGGCTGGACATAGATCTTGTACTTCTAGACCTCACAGAGGGACGATGGGGGGCTCCATTCGTTAGGGTTGCTCTATGAAAGGTGATGTTTGTAATAGAATAGTAATAGAATATTCTTCATTTTCTGTGTACTGTCTTGCGATGTGGCAATAGAATTGTTGTCTTAATGCCAGAATGAGCCCAATTTTTACCCTCACAAGCGAAGCATTATCGCTTTCACCATAGTTTTATTGCTTTATTATGATTTATGTAGGGAATAATTCATGTTATGTCAACACTGCAAAAAAAAAAAAGAAAAAGGTGAAAGGAAGAGAAAAGAGGGGTATTGACAAAACGTAGTCAGTCTGCTTCATCACCTGCAAAGAGAGATTAATTTAGAGGGTTTTCATTCCTGCGGATTGTCTCTGTTACTGTTACACACATTGGCTTATTTCAACCTTAACGATGGTGTTTGCTCTGCTCCAGGTGCTGGTTCTCTCCACCCGCTTACTAAGACCGACGGATATTCCTGAGCTGTTGTTCAGCACCCAGAGACTTCACCCAGATATCAGTTTCTGAGGGTTGCCATGAGGAACAAACGCAGCCTTGTGCGTTCAGAGCGGCGCACGTTTGGACAATCAGGTTTGGAGCGCAAATCGTCGTCATTTTACAGAAATGATCGAGATTTTAAAAAAAGAAAAAGAAAGCATTCCTGCCCTGTATGTCAGCGAACAAAATCCTTGTTCTTATACAACAGATGTTTTATGACCTAAATGTATGAATTTATCAAATCTGTAACAATAAAGTAATTTACCAGACAGCAAACCTGCTGTGTTGCCTTTTATTTGCATGCACTGTTAATATAGTATGTAGTTTACTATAATAGTGACTGAGTGAATGTGTGAAAGGGGAGGTGAGAGAATACTGTCTGTATATCTGCATCATAACCTCTTTACATCACGACAAAAGCTTCATGTTTAGCAAAACGTTTGGACCATTTCTTCGCTCACACCTACACGGATGATTCCCTCCTTCATTGGTTTCATTCTCTCCCACATTGCTGAGATGCATGAGCTAAAGCTCCATGATTTCACCCACCTCCAAGCCTGCAAAACAACAGGGGGCTTTTTTTCATTTCCACGGATGCATTTCAGCAGATTCTGTAAAAAAGCTTTTTAGATTTATCAATTAGGATTTTTTTTCTTCAGGATTTAGTCATATTAAATCCCATAAATCCCTTTAATGCAGATCTGGGTGCATGCAGGTATAGCTGTCGCATAGGCTTTGCAAACCGCCCCCCATTCCTGCATTTTCTTTAAAATTGGTGATAAATTAATTTATCCAAGATTGCATCTGTTTTTGTCAAGCACTTTATGTTTTAAAGAACCTTCATCAAGTTTAGCTGTTTTTGTTTTGTTTTATATTGTTATATCATAACAGGAGGGGGGTGGGGCAACATAAGGAAAGTCAATGATTTCCCCAGCAACAATCAAGATAGTTGTGCTTCTTTTTTTCTGTAAAAGAAAAGAGAAACGCACGATTATTAAAAACTTTTCCAGGAGCTTTTATGTGAATGTTCTTCATTGCTGTGCCATTATTTAGTAGCTCTTTTTGTATCACAACTCTTTACATTTTAATGAATTGAACAGAATAAGTTACCGCTTGTTTCATAGTAGCTGTATGACTTTGTCCCTTTGTAGTTCAAACTTAGACTTTAAGTTTAAACCAAAAACTTAAGGCTTGGATTCAAATTTATTTATCCCTTGGGATTAGTCCTTCAGTGACATTCTGGTTCCAGTAGCTTATATAGGGTAAAAAGAGTTAAAGCAGGAAGCCATTAAAGATAAAAATACAATATAAAAGAGTGTATATAGTAAAAAGTTATGTCCTAGAATAGGTTTCCCTTAGATATTAAATATCTGCACAGTAGAGAGCTAAGAAATACACAGTAGTTGATTTGGGTTATTGCACTGCAGATAATTAGTGAAAAAAATAACAGGCTACACATGAGATGACTGAATTTCAAGAGCCCTTCAGGTTAAATAAAAGGGTCTTAAATGTTTCAGGACATTTTCTAGGTTTAGAGGTATATTTCTGGGTTATTGTAACAAAAAAAAAAAAAGATTTAAAGGTCAAGTTTGGGTCTGATTGGTAATTTAATATACGGTATACAAATGCACCAACACATTACAGTGTCTTTAAAAGTCCATTGGCTTGTGATTAAAAGTTGGTTTAAGATATATATTGTTTGATTACCTTTAACATTCAGTCTATGGGATCAACCATAATATAAATAGAACTTCCTTTAAAGAAGCTGTAAAACTTTAAAGATCTCATTCTGTTAACAAAAACACAATTCTGGATTCCTCCATTTACATTAGTTCTTCCCCTAAAAAGAAATCTGCATAACATTAGCTTTAAGGGGCAAAAACCCTTCATCTGTGCATTAGCCCCATTTTTGTCTTGTGTGCTTAAGTGGGCTTTAAGTTTAGCAGCAGACTTGACTTATCAACAGGGTATCAGTCGCTCCATTGTCTTAATGCGACTCATAGCTGCGAGTTATCAAGGCCTTTCAGAGGAGCTCTATTCAAAGGTCAGACGAGCTTTTCTTCGATGCGTCATCAGGAGTCAGAATCTGATTAAATAAGCAATATTTGTTCTTTTACCTGCTGAAGATTCTTTTACAAATGAAATATGGACACAGCTGTAATATTTAAATCATTTTATTTTTATTACAAAGTGAACTTGTAACAAATAAATAACAGGTCCTTTGGACTTGTTTTCATAAAGTGCGTCAGTGATCATTGTCGAAGCATGCTACACCCCCCGTCTGCTACAACCCAAACCTCACTGCCATGTACAGTGATGATCCTTAAGGTTCAAAACAAAACTATACACGTATTTATACACACTGCAGATGTTGGCATTACTGAGCTCAGCTCCAGAGTATTTGCTGAATGGGAACCGCTAACAGGGCCATGTAGTGGCTGTGAATAGAAACCACCACAATGGGCCAGCTAAAAATAAGCCGTCCTTCAGCTGTTGCCAGGAGAGCAGAATTTACACTTTAGATCAACCGATAAGCAGAGTCTGTGGGCTCAGCTAGCCTCCATCGGCTTCCCCGTGTCCTCACAGGTCTCCTCCTGAGCAGATAAACCTCTTTCCCTGCTTCGTTTCACACCTCATCTGACATGAGACCGCTCTCCACCAAGAGGTGGACAAAGGCTGCCCTGTGGATGCTGCCACTGAGCGGTCTGTTTCCGTCACCCAGACTGGTTCAGAACTAATGAAGGAGAGATCCTCTCCTCGTCTTTTCCCTCGGCTTCCAGTCCTCTTCACACAGAGGTCACAGTTCTGACTTTAGCAGACAACGCCTGTTTGAAACGCCTCTTGAGATCTTGCATGTTGGGAGACTTTGGCCGGGGAATGAGGGGCGAGCGCCTCTTCTCTGGGGCGGCGCTGGCGGTTGGAGGCGGCGGCTGCTTGGCGAGCTGGCAGCACAGTCTGTGGAAAGCTCCATGCACCTGGTTATAATCTTCGCTGGCGGAGACCTCGAAGAAAGAGCATCCCAGAGTTCCCGCCAGCAAAGGGCCCTGCTGGGAGTCTACACGCCTCAGGTGAAGCAGGTCTGCCTTGTTGGCGAGCAGGATCAATGGGGGCACGCCGGTCCCGCCCGTACGGACCACCAGCTGGTGCAGCTGATCGATCAGCTCAAAGCTGCGGCGGTCGGTCACAGAATACACCAGGACCACGGCGTCGGCCCACTGGATGGAGCACGTCACATGATCGGGGATACTGATACCATTATCAGTCATCTAAAAGGGGAAAAGACGAAATTATTAAAATCAAACATTCCTCTGTGGGGCAACTTCATTCAGATCTAAAGTTTAAAGACTTAATGAAAAGTAAACTCTTGTAATGACTGGAATGCTCATTGAGCAGACAGGAGCTATAGTATTACTGCTGTGGAGGGGGTGTGGGTGACAGGGGGGGAAAAAAAAGTCTGGATTTGGATCAGGGTATCATTTACAGTGGCCCCAGCCAGCCATTACCCTAAATGGTAGATTACTCAGCCCAAAATGAGGGGCTTGCTTTGGGGGGGAACCATCTATGTTTCAGAAATGTTTCCCAAAAGAAACTAACAGCCAGAAAGTCAATTTATGTATGAGATTTGAAATAAGTTTGATCATAAATGCTACATCTGGAGCCACCACTGATTAAATCAACCAAAATAAGATTTGAGAGGAAGGAAGGAAGGAGCCCCACCTCTGCACCAGGAGTGTCCTGGACCTGGATGGTCACCTGATCTCCATCCACCTGGACCTCTCTGGAGTAAAGGTTACCTGGACACCGAAAAGAGACCAAAATCAGCTGATTTCATCAAAACAAACAGAATTAAAGCAAATTCATTTAATGGAAAAGTATTTTTAAACTTACCGGCATTTCGCTCATAGTCTCCAATAAAACGCCTCGTTAAGAATCTCACCACCAGCGCTAAAATTAACAAAAAAGGACAGCAATGTTAAACCTAAAATCATAAATCCATATAAACCTAAAATATAGCAATATATCTGTGTTTGGTAAGAGGCTCACCTGTTTTTCCCACTCCGCTGCCTCCAATAACCGCTATTTTAATCACCCGGTTCGGGACGCAGCACTCGGGCGCGCTGCACTCCGCAATGGTCGACATGTTCTGAATGAGCCTCATTTTTCCCTCCCACTGATTCAGTTTCCACTAAACCCGCGAAAGAAATATAGAATAAAACGCTTTGAACTCGTTCAGTAAAGTTAAAGTTATTCCAGGATCAGCAGTGAGGATGTTTCCAGCTGCAGAGCAGAGAGCGACTGAAGCTGAGGAGCCGCGCGCTGCTTTTATAGCCTTCCGCCGCTGCTCGCTTCTGATTGGTCGCTCAGTATCTCCAGCGGCTCGTGTTTTCTCCGCCCACACGTGGATAAACAGCGACTCGTTTTCAGAAGTGGAGCTGCTGCTGCTGCTGCAACAGGTGGGATCCGACAAAACAGGCTTTCTTTGGGGGAAAAGCTCCGGATTAGAATCTGGAGGGAGAGGTGATATTTTCTCATGTGACTCTCATGGAAGCATTCTGCCTGTGAGGAAAAACATGTTTCACATATCAATAAAGGATTTAGGTTAAGTATCATAAAGGCAGCTATCAGAATTTCCTTCATAATTACAAATCTTGGATTTTGTAAAACTTGCTGATTTTTTATCTAAGAACGGAAATATGCAGTTTATCCCTGCAGGATGCCTGTGAATTTGGTTCTCCTCTTCTCGATCAGCATTATTCAATAAAATAAACCAAATACTCTTGAAAAGATGAAAATGTGAACTTTTCATCTTTAAAGCGGATTATTTAATAATAATTCCACCATTATTTCTAAAATAACAGGAGGATGACATGAAGACAAAGAGCCTGGTTCCAAAAAGGCTGTTCTTTACTGTTATGGAGAAATAATAAATAATAGTGGCAGCCTAGTTAGGGCATAGAGCTTGGAATCCTGAGTTCCAACCCCACTCCCACAGACTGCCACTGGGTATCTGAGCAAAGACCCTTAACCCCACACTGCTCCCCAAGGGGATGGGTTAAATGCAGAGGTAAATTTCTCCTATGTGAGATCAATAAAGTTCAATAATTGAACTTTCTTATCAGAGTGGTGTCTATGAGGATCAAACCAGCACAAGCGCCCTGCTTTAAACCACTAGGCAAACACTCATAGAACAGAGGTAGAAATATGATAAATGTACATATTTTTAAACAATGCAATTGTTATTACTTAATTTTTGTTGCGGGTTGCGTATGTGAAATCAGTTGTGACTGAATATAAAAAGGATGCATTACGTAACTCGTGTTTTTAAAGGCTGATTTCATGCTCAATCTGCTAACAGCAGCGCTGTTAACCCTTTCCAGAAGCTGTTGAAGCTAAAGCTCAGGTGATCCAGCTCCTTTTCTTGAACATTTTAATTGGGCAATGTAGTTTTTCATGTTCACCTCAAATAAGGTTTGTCCAGATCAGGGCGGTGCGTTGCACAGAGGTACAGAATACAGAAGCTGCTGGTCCTTGACTTGTCCAAATCCCAACCTCGGGACCTTTTCTGCATGCCTTCCCCCTTCTATCTCTCTCTGTATTTCCTGTCTGACTACAGTGAATACAAGGCCACAAGTGCAGCAATAATCCACTTTGAATTTGGATGCGTGCTTCACAGTCCGGATGGAGTAAAAAGTTATGTTTTATGTGATTATAGGAACAGAGGAATAGCACAAGACAGTTATTTTCTAACATGTGTATCCTTCACAGGAATATGTTTCTGGCTGTGTGACTTTGTAGACAGAATACAAAATAAGAAATGTTTGGAACCAGTAACTGGAAAAATATGAAAAAATAAGCAGTTGCTTTAAAATTTGGTTAATGTTTAGTCTAGAGAATATTTGTATTATTTATTTGAGAATCAAGGTTGATTAATATGGATTTTGTGTAAATGGGCTTTTAGAGGATAGAGAACAAGGAAATGATTATATGACAAAGTCAATTTGCCTTTAAATATCTTCCATAATTCGGAAACTTATAGTTTCATATTCTAAATTGTGGAGTTTTGAGATCCTCAGTAAAAAATCAACTAAAACACAGATAAAAATTGATCAAATTTTATTTGATTTTTCTATGCCCTAATTCTGTTAGAAGACAAAGAAAAAAAATCTCTGTTCCTTTGAAAACCCTCATCCTGCTTTCTAACTGACCTAGTTGTGCCAAATACCTGAAGTCACGAGTTTCCTCTGCTTTATTTTGTGGGTCAGAAGCTGGACGCTTCTTCTGATCCAGTTTTTTTCTTTGGAAATTCCAATCCTGTAAACATCAGGTTTTCCAAGTCAGTCTTTACAAACACACTAAAAGGAGCAATAACCAGAATATTTACTGTAAGTCACGAAGTAATGAGAAAAGAATTTCTACTTTTGGACTGCAAGACTTCTTGAAGAGGATCTTTTAACTGAATTTAATCAGAAAGTGTAGTCATCAAATATTAAGTGGGTTATTTTAACCGTCCCTACGTGTTGGAAATCCCAGTGGGATGGAGGAGGTTTCTCACTAACCTTAAGTTCAGAATACAATATGACTGCTGATTACAAAACCTGAACTTTAATAATTGATTAATCTACAAATCTAATTAAATGTTTTGCATACAGACTACTTTAATCTCTTCTGTAAACATGTTGCTGCAGCGCTTTAAATGGAAACACATGGAGAAACACAATGCTACTGGCCTTCAGGGACGATAAGCATAGCAGCTGATTTCAAACGTGTTAAACTATTTAATGTCATTCCCAGTTGCAAGTTTTCATTTCAGATTTAGATTAAAGAAGTTTTAGAAATGAAATGCATGTTATGAAACAGGTAGATAAGGGCCACAGAAAAAAAAGAATATTCTCCTAAATTTTGCCTTTTTGCAAAGGATTAGACATTTATGATGAAAGCTGTAAATTTTTTCCTGTTTATGAATAGGTCATTTTGGATTACCACCAATGTTTCATGTGCTACAGTTGGACAGCTATGGCATTTGAGAAGCTAGTTTATTACATTAACTCTGTGATTTTCAAAATGAGACCAGCTTCTCAAAGGGCAGTCTGTTCAGTGACAGAAGTTGAAACCTAAATCTGAGGAACTTTCTTTTAAACCTCACACACTTTAAAGGAGAATTCCGGTTTTTAACACTTTTAGCCCATTTTCTGTAGTGTCCAGGATGAAATCGAATGATCGAAACCAAAATTTTGACAATTGGTCCTGTCTCTGCTTTTTGGCTCATTTAGAATCCACCCCTGGCTGCTTCAGAATGGCTTCCATAGAGCATGTCCGATAATGTCCTTAAAACAACCTTAAACGTTCTTTTTTTTAAATATGCTACTCACCGGGTCGTCAGCGCTGTTCAATGACGTTCCAAAAAAAGTTTCGTGAAGAAAAAACGTTCCTGTAGTGTTTTATTTAGCATTTTGTAAATCCCATTGAGTTCTGTAGGAATAGTCAATATTCCCCTGCCACCGGAAACGGAAATGGGGCCTGTTTACACAGTTGTAGTCTTTTCGCTTCACTCTGTGTACTCCGATGTCGAGAATCAAGAATCCACCTTTCGTATTCCATTTTCAGAGTTTTTTAAAGTGTTTAACAGAGACGTTAGCACCTCGACGTCGGAGTACACAGAGTGAAGCGAAAAGACTACAACTGTATAAACAGGCCCCATTTCCGTTTCCGGTGGCAGGGGAATATTGACTATTTCAACAGAACTCAATGGGATTTACAAAATGCTAAATAAAACACTACAGGAACGTTTTTTCTTTACGAAACTTTTTTTTGGAACGTCATTGAACAGCGCTGACGACCCGGTGAGTAGCATATTTTTAAAAAAGAACGTTTAAGGTTGTTTTAAGGACATTATCGGACATGCTCTATGGAAGCCATTCTGAAGCAGCCAGGGGTGGATTCTAAATGAGCCAAAAAGCAGAGACAGGACCAATTGTCAAAATTTTGGTGTCGATCATTCGATTTCATCCTGGACACTACAGAAAATGGGCTAAAAGTGTTAAAAACCGGAATTCTCCTTTAAGTCCTCTTCCTTTGGTATGAACATCGGCTCTGCAGAGTGCTTTTGCTTCCTCTGGTCAAACTAAGATTCATGAAGCATAAATATCTCACTGCACATATCACTCTCCTCCAGTATGCATGCTTAAAGTTCGCCTGACGACCATAGGCACAAGTTTTGTTGGTTTCCTCCCAATCCTGTGTTTTGAATTCAGTTTTTTGGTGCACCTCTGCGTCAGCAGGTGACCTGTTCAGGCATGTCCCCTGATTTGTCCTCACAGGGGGTTAACGGCTGCTGATATTGCCCAAGTACACTGCACGCAACACAAACAGGCGCCCACATCCAGCCATATCTTAAAAGAGTTCATGCAAACAGCTATGCTGCATGGCATTATAAAGGTGATTGGAGCTGTTTAAGAGACAATTGAGAAGCAATCCAGTCTTTTTTTAAGCATATTGTTCAGTAATTAAAAATTCATGTGTTTTAGAAAGTTGCTTTATTAGGGATGTTGTTGTTTAGTCTGAATTTCTTTTACCTCCTCTGCCACAAACTCAAACAGCCTCCCCCTCCTCCAACCCTACCTCCAGTTTTTCATTTTTTCCTCAGAGGTATTTTGGCATCCAGCTCTCATATGATTACAGTCTGGTATGTATTTCTGATAAGAGTGCTGATGACAGGCGGCGGTGCTGAAAAATGAAATTAGTGCCCAGGATTGAGGAGAAGCCAGCGCTGCAGGGTGTTGCACCCACACAGATATCCCTCTGACCACATCACAGACGACACAGTCAGCTCCACCCAGCGGTTCTGGGAGGTGAGGCCTCTTTTCTTGCTAATGGTGAATAAACACATTCTTGCATTTGATGACACATTGGATTCCCCTGTTTCACCCACAGATCAGGGCAGGCACGGGCCTCTGTTGTTAAATGACTGATGTAGACGAGGGTGTCACATTTTCAGCATATTTTTAACACAGGAATATTAAAGGCATTACGACCGTTCCCTCCTCTTGCAGCAAGGCGAGAAGGCTAATGATGGCAAGCCATAAAGGGAAGGTTTGTTAATGGAGGGCAGCAGAGTTACTCACACATAGGAGGTGACAGGAGTTGCTGCTGCGCATGGTGACTAAAACGACCAATTTGTTGACATGAGTCTTTAATGTCTGACAAAGAGCGCAGGGACTCCCATTAACTCCCACTGCCACATGACTCTGCCCTCAGGCTGGTGGAGAGGTACAGCCTCAACCATCCATCCATGGATTTATTTTTCGGA